GACGAAAAGCAGTTCGTTAAACTCAGGCCGGCCCATGAGACAGACGGGCTATGCCATGGCCTAGGGCCACCATTTGAAACAAAAAAAAATCTAAGACCACGTATTTTTCATAATTATGGTCTAATTAGTCCATAAATTATAAACTTTAAAGCCCATGTTTCTTTGACAAATTGTTTTCAGTTATTAACAATAATAAAACGTGATTTGTGTCCCATAATTATAGAGCTAGGGCCACCAAAACCACAAGGAAATCGTGATTTGATTTTTCAAGTTTTTTTTGTTTTTAAATTTTTCCTTGTTTTTATCAAACATGATTGCACAAGAAATATATACACGTAATTAGAATTAGAAAAAAAAAAAATCTACAATATCTTAATTAGAAAATCTAAACAATTTACTAGAGAAAGATATGGTTGAAGAAATAGACTATGTGAGTTTAATAGACGATTTTGCAAAAAAAAAAAAATGCAAAAAAGATATATTTCACAAATAGTTTTTGAGGTTTTCTTAAGATTTGCTTTTTTTCTTACAAAGATTTGTCGTTTTTACTACGTATTTTGTTGTTTATAAAAGGCCACATTTTTCTTTATCGTTTTGGGCCACCATTTTTATTGCACCAGCCCTGCTTAAACTCCGCGTTTTTAATTAAAACATATTACATTTTGAAACGGAGGGAGTAGTTGATACGTAATTTAATCTTTTGAAGGCGTTTATAAAAGCATGGGAAAGCGTGTGTGGAGAAAAAGGATCGCAGACTATGCAAATCTCGAGTGGCAAAACCTTCAAACTTCAGCCTCTTGTCTTTCAAGGTCCATGCAAGAGCAACGCTATCAATTTTCGGGTACCTATTATTTATCTATAACGATTCAAAAGATTTCCCTCAACTACATATCAACTTTTATAGATTTTACCAAGAAAACAAAACTTTTATAGATAGATTAAGGTAGCGAAGGATAATTTTTTTTTTTTTTTGTAGTGTATATGTGTATACATGTGAATTTCGAGATATCAAGAATAACATTTATATGCATATGGTTGAGAGAATAACCCTTTTTTTTTTGAAAAAAGTTAACTATACTCTTGTCAATATATATTCCTACTTGCTTAGAGATATTGTAATTTATTATCACAGTTTAACAGTTTAAGTCAAAGGCTCCTTTTTATGTTTTCGTTATATATTAAAGATTTATCTTTTATAATCAATCTATTTCTGCAATGTTAATTATAATCATATTTTTATATAGAAAAGAAATTTAATTATATGATTAATCAAAACACTTTACAAAAACAATTTGTATCATGTTACGCTATACCTAATACATGTCGATAATTTATTTATAACAAAGGACCTAGTTATTGAAATCGCTTAAAACCCTAAAAAAATTCAAGACCGGTCTAGAGTATATATGTTGAATGATTTGTAAAATTATCTGACCGTTAAATCAATTGAAACATTAAATCTTTCACTTTTGTTAGAACTCTTTGTTTCTTTCTTTTGTCAAAGACTTCTTATGTTCTAAATTTAAGATTTCTAATCATTTATCTGAACAGCTACTGGGAAAGATAAGTGCTCCAGACAAAAATGAATGGGCAGAAAATAAAAAAGAGAAATGGGTGACATTCAAAGAGGTAAATAATCTCATCGTTTACGGTTCTGGCATAATCGAAGGAAGTGGTCCAACTTGGTGGAAGGACGTAGAATCAGAACGACCAACGGTAAGTAATTGTAATTTTGTTATGTTAGTTGAATCTCTAATTATAAACAGCAATCTATTATTGAAACTAATTTTTCTCTTACATATATGTTATTGTGCAGTCATTGGCTTTTACAAGCTGTGACAATTTACAACTGAAATCGATTACTTCGATCAATAGTGCAAAAAATCATATTAGCATCTCATCTTGCATTGGAGTAACTATATTTGACGTAACTTTGATAGCACCTGATGATAGTCCAAACACTGATGGCATTAATATTGCGGGATCGAGTCAAGTGAATCTATTCGACTCGTTCATTGGAACAGGTAGTTTCAAAATGAAATCGGGCTTTCTTTTTGTTGAATATTTTTCATTGATTAATATATGTTATTGAGACTCTAATTCCAGAAATTTAATAACTAGAATATGAATGATAACGTATGCTAACTAATTGAAACCAAATTCAAACACAGGTGATGATTGTGTAGCCATAAATGGAGGTTGTTCGGGAATCAATATCACTAACGTCAAGTGTGGTCCTGGTCATGGACTTAGGTATATATATGTTTCATTTATCAAAACATTTTTTTAGTTGGTCGTTATGATCCAAAAGACTATTCGAATTCCAAAGCATGTAAATTAGTCTTAGTATTTGAAGTTTGAGCTCGCACTACAAAAAAATTGGTATATTACATCACTTAAATAGTATCAATAAACTAAATGATCTTAGTTTAACTTTAAATTACTTAATAATAAATTATACAAAATTTGTGATTTAACAACAATTATCATAACTGATGTTGTTTTTGACTTGTTTGACATCATTTCAACAAAATTGATGTAAATTTAATATAATCTGCATCATTTTGTATGAAAATGACACAAAATATGGATTTATATCAGTTAAATAATTGATATATGTACTAATTTTTATAAACATCATTTAGGAAAATGATATAAATTTTACATCAATTAGAAAATGATGGTAATATTA